TACAAAGAAGGACCAAGCCGAATATCGGAAGCAGATGGCAGTGTGTGATAATTCTCTACAAAAAGACTTCTACTTCAATCCACCTCCTGTAAGTAATATTAGTTATGGTATAATCATTGATGCAGTTTTTGTTTTAAAATTCCAACCAGCTATGAAGTAGCTATAGTTGTTTTACTTAGAGTTAAATTCAATATTTATGTTGATGCACAATAAACCTATGAATAAGAAGAAGTCAATGTACATCAAATTGGCTGTAATTAAACATGGAGTGTGATTTTTGAGTGTATAATACATGCCATCTTGGAATGTTTAAACAACTAATAATTATGAGCAGCAAATACTATAATTGATAGCGTTGAGATAAATATTTGGAACAAATAAATGTTGACAGTGCTTCCCTGGTTTGTTTATTATTTGTAGCAATACAGACTCTTCAATCACCACTCGTATGAAATATAATATACTAACAGTAGTCTTTTTTAAATTATTCCATTGTTTATATTGTGCTTTACAATCTAGTCTTTTATGGTGAAGGACGTTAGTGAAATGTGTTCCTTTTTCAATAACTTTAGCTAACCAAGGTTGTTGGATGGGGCATTACATTGGCGTACTGGCACTGGTCTGGATTACTGGATTTAATTAAGGATGACTTATCGAGCAAGTTGCAGGCATGGAGCAATAAAGAGATGGCTGGTATCACAGTGATGCCACATCTCTTATTGCTCTACTCACAGAGCTGTCGATCATCAGAAGAGACTAATAGGCAAATGACAAAGCTGTTGGGGTCGGACACTGAAAAGAATAAGACTGTTCTCATAACAAGGAAGAACATGTGCGGTGTACGGGAGAAACCGTATGTTGTTTCTCTTAATAAACGTAGGGGTGGTGGCAAAGACTACTACATTCCTTGTGACTATCCCACCTGTTTGAAAGGGTTACAGCTTACAGACACCGATCATGAGCAGAGAAACAATGAGCTGTATTGGTTTCATATCACGCTGCAGCAAATCCTATCCAAGAGGTTTTCCGAAATGAAATGTCCCTTCGTACTAGTTCCATTTGATGACAAAAAACCAAATGCTGTAGATGCTACAGTGAAGCAAATGACTAAGCTATGGCGAGAAGACAAAATACATGGATTTCAACTGGAGGATGAAAAACCGGAGTGGCTGAAAGTGTCCGCTTCACTGCTTGGTAAAAGTTTAAAATTGGAATTTCAAAGTTGGATGCCTATAGGCATTTTGCTTGCGCAGCGATGGGCAGACCTGTATTTCAAAAATTATGGCCTAGAGTTGAAGAAAATTGTCACAAACTTCCAAAGCACGCGGCACGAGGTTCAGGTAGACGATGATGATGACGATGATGATGATGATAGTGGTCACGATATTCATGAAACTAGTGACTCTGAGAGGGTTCACCAAGGCGATGGTGATACAGAAATTGACGCTAGTAAAATGGACTGGCAGGCAAGCAGCACCGATTCTTTTCCAGTAAGAAAACTCCTAGTGCTGTTGCCCAGGACGTGCAAAACGTTCGATTGTGTATCTGACGATGAGAAATCAGTTGTAGCTGAGAAAGACATGGATCACTTTCCTGATAGCACAAAAGGCATAGGTCAACGGCTAGTAGGGAAAAGCACAGTTTACAAGCTAGAAAGTGCATTTTTCCTGGCAGAGTACGCAACCCCACTGCGTTGCCTGCGCCTCATGATGGAGGATGGTATAATAACAAAGCAGTTAATGGATGATTTCTATTGCCAGTTTTGTAGCCACTTAGAATTATGGTTGGAAAGATACACATCATTTAAAGAGAGTTTCAGCCTTGTGCAGTATGATGATAGAGATAGTAACCAAGCACTGCTGTATGCTTTAAGGGTGCATCTAACGCATCATCAACAATAGTTCCTTATTACAGGGATATGTTGATGGTCTTCAATCGTATTACTGACCTGAGGGCTATTATATCGCAGTAGTGTCGCTGGTATTCAGCAATATTGATATCTCATAAATATCTCTAGAAGTACATTGAAGTGCCTTCCGTTAATAATTTGAATATTGGATAAGCAAATAGGTACAATGCAAGTATATATAAATCGTATATATAATCAAACGTGAATTTCGGTGGTTGATTGCTGTATTTAAATTGTACGGTAGATGGACCTTAATTTTAACATGATTACGTATTTTTTTACGCGTATGATTTTATGTTTGCTACATTTGAAACATAAAAAGTCTACATAAAACATCAATGTCATGGGTAAAATGTGTGCTAGTCAAATGCGCATTTCTTTATTTTCTAGCAGTTTGAAATGACTATCGAAGTGAGTGTAAAACGTTCTATCTATTAATAAGTGAAGCTCATGACTTCATGACCTTCAACAGGAAGTAGTACTATGATTTATTTACTGTTTCAGAAAATAAACGTAGTTCACTGTAAAAATTATTACGATTAAAAAGACAAATCTTTGTAAAAGATTTGGTAAAATTATACAATAATTTGTAGACCCCCTATCAGCTGGTTAAAAAGCCAAAGTATTAGAGCTTGGTCGAATTTCTATTGATTAGTTGCAATGTATACTAAGGGTTCATTGAAGCTATAACAAAACCAACCAATAACAAACAAAATTGTTTGCTTTTCTTGGATTGTTATCAATGTATTGTGATTTGATTATTGATGTATTTGGATATATCATGTAAGCATAAGAACTATGGGGCCGTTATTAGAAAGATTGTTAATAGTTATGACGTTATAAGTGTAAAATGTCACGACTTTTGTGTAACTTCACTTCAAAAGTTATAGTATTTTATACGCATGATTTCATAACTTCTTGATCTTTCTTACACCGGCCGCATGGTCAATATGTACGTGTCGTAACCTTTTATCAGTGCCTGTATTTTTATCACTATGGTGGCTGTATGTCATACCTGATGACAATGCTTCTATTTAAATGAGACCATTATACATTCGATTACCTATACACATGATTTTTAAGCGTTTATTCTATAAAAGGGTGGAGGTTTCACGTGTTCAAAAGAATCACGTTGAAAACATTTGTACTGGAGTAGTAGTGTGGCTACATTTTATGTAAGAGAATATTTTAATAATGTTTGGTATATATGAAGCAAAAACGGTCACGTTCACAATGTTTGAATATGCGTCGTTTCTGTTAAGTTTCGATTGTTAAAATGTCAATTTTTTATGAGAAATATTATAGGTACTACGGGCTTTGACCTGATGGGACGTACGTACCATGGTAGCAGGAGTGAATAATAGAGATCTAGATATCTCTAGAGATTTAGAATAATAGAGATCTCTATTATTCACTCTTGATGGTAGTAATAGCGAACCGTGCCATTGTGTTACGCACTGCTGCTACCTGCAGACTATACTATATTATATAGACGGATATATATGCGACCTATATAGACGGATGCAATTAATGTGCCAATATGCTTTAAGCGCTGCTGTGGACAACTACATGGTTATTATTACTTGTTAATGTAGACGTTTACCGAATAAAACTAATCATGCTCGACTGTTATTCATTTATCTTAATAAACGAGTATATATCACAGTTAAACAAATAGAAGCAATGTTGCTATTTATGCATTTTCTCAGTTTGCGCAGCATGACATGCAATGCAATATGTCACGTCAATGTATATATCACAGTTAAACAAATAGAAGCAATGTTGCTATTTATGCATTTTCTCAGTTTGCGCAGCATGACATGCAATGCAATATGTCACGTCAACTCGTAATGGCCAAAAGTTCTGTACGCCCGCAAAATCGGGAAAAGAAACATAGACATTGATTACAGCCGGCGATATTACATGCCTTCACCCATAAATCTGTTCACCGCTTAAATATAGCTTAATATTAATTAACCCACACACACACACTCGGAAATAATATTTCTTCACCGCGTATATATCACAGTTAAACAAATAGAAGCAATGTTGCTATTTA